CCCGCCCCCCCTCTCTCTCTCTCTCTCTCTCTCTCTCTCTCTCTCTCTCTCTCTCTCTCTCTCTCTTCATGACATTCCCAGTGGAATTCATTCCATTTGCATTCATTCTTTTCTTTTCCTGATCGGTGCCAGTGCACTCATTGTTTCAGACATTAAAAGTGAATCATGTAATATTGCCACTCATCCGTCATCCGTCTTAATTCAGGCTGATTCATATCATTTATCATTTCAAATCATTCCAGTAATCAAGATTGCATGCAGTCACATTGTTTGTTATACAGAAGGGAAGAACATATTGGACAGCATTTTGAATATTTCTACATTCATAAGCACATGTGCCTGTTTCTGTACGTGTATGTATGTGATTCAGGAAGTTGAGAAGGTAACCAAGGGAAAGAAAAAAGATAAGGCTAAACCTAAGATAATAAAGGTGGGTACATGGGATTGTTTCTTTATATTCTTATTCACTATTTTCTTTCTTCCAAATTCACATATTCTGTCTTTCTCCCACCTTGCAGTTTTGTTTCTTTATTGCTGCATGACGGAAGTGCTTCGCTCATCATGCAAACTAACCCTTTTCTGTACATTCCTGTCTGTCTTACTAACACTATGTCTGATTGGTGAGCGGTGCTCTGATTTTTCCTCCAGGATCTTTGGTTTACTCTCTTCTCTCAAACACAGGAAGCCTCAGAGGAGGAAAAAGATGAAGAGATGGAGAAGAAAGATGAGAATGAAAAGAAAGGAGGGAAGAAGGGCATGAAAGCCGCTGCTAAACCATCTAAGGTGTGTGACTCAGGTTTTGATGGATACGATTTGTTTTGAAAAGCCAGTAAAAAAAAAAAAATCCAAGTGTGTGCAACCTAAAGGGCATCTTAATGTTGACAGGAGGAAGATGAAATTGAAGAGAAAGAACAGGAGAAGTCTCAGAAGAAAGGCAAGAAGGAACAGCCCAAGGTCAGATTAAGATATTTTTGTATGTTTGTGTATGTATTTATGCATTAAAATGTGCGTACACACTCTTTGTGATTTGGAATCTCGCTTAAGATGACAGAGTTGAGTAATATTACCGTTTCAAATGTTTTCTATTTGAATACATTTTAAAATGTTATTTATTCCTGTGATGCATAGCTGAATTTTCAGCATCGTTACTCCAGTCTTTAGTGTCACATGATCCTTCAGAAATCATTCTAAAATGTTGATTTGCTGCTCAAAAAGTTTTTATATTATTATTATGTATTATATTATTGAAAGCTGTTGTGCCGCTTAATATTTTTGTAGACTCCATGATACTTTTTTTGGTGAATAGAAAGTTCAAAATAACAGTGTTTATTTGAAATATAAATGATTTGCAACATTATAAAAGTCTTTACTGTCACTTTTGATTAATAAAAGTAAGAGAGAAAGTCAGCGCATGGTGAATGAAAATAAGTATTGTAGTAAAATGTTTGTCAGTGTCTTTTCTGTGATTTTAAGAAAGGGAAGCCTGCTCGCCCTCCTCCTAGTGATGATGATGATGATGATGATGAAGATGAAGAAGAGGAGGAGAAGAGTGATGAAAATGACACAATGATGGTACAACAATTTTCTCTTTTTGTATTCCAAATATTCATAATTTCCAAGTGTTCATTCATCCACTTTCTATCTCTTTGTCCTTATTTTCTTGATATCCTGCTTCCTGTCCCGTAGAGTGCCGAGGATGCCCTCGCAGCTGAGCAGGCCAAAGAGAAACAAGAGGACGACCCTTTTGCTAACTTGAGTAAAAAAGAGAAGAAGAAGAAAAAGAAAAAGGTAGCGTATTCAAATTTTGAATACTCTAATGTATGTTATAGAAGTGTTATTTTTATATTATTTAAATATTCTTATAGTATTTATTTATATTTTGAATTACCTTTTTTTTAAAGGGGTCATATGATGCGATTTAAATTTTTCCTTTCTCTTTGGAGTGTTACAAGCTCTTGGTGCATAAAGAAGATCTGTAAAGTTGCAAAGACTAAAGTCTCAAATCCAAAGAGATATTCTTTATAAAAGTTAAAGAGTCAACCACGCCTACCTAAAACGGCTCGTTCTAACACACCCCCACATATCTACCTCACTATGTGGGAAGATTTGCATAACGCCGCCCAAATGTTCACGCAAAGAAAGAAGGCGTAACTTTTAGTCTCACTGTAGTTTTGTCGACGCTGTAGCCATGTCGTGAAGATGCTGTGTGCTTCGTTGTGAAAGCGAAACTACTTTGTTTGGTCTTCCAAAAGAGGACACGACTAGAAATCAGTGGTATTTACAACACTGTTCCAGAACAGTTTAACCCAAATATCCAGATGTGTGCAGTGCATTTTATGGAGGACTGTTTACTGATCCTCGTAGAGTAACGTTAGACTAAAATGCCGGCAGTTCTGACTCACGTAAGTACGTTTTCTTTTAAAGGATTTAATGATGATTCAAACGTGAGTTTTGGGCAGTGTGTAGAGTAGCACTTGTTGTTTGTAATTTCTCTGATCACAAATGCAGACAGAGTTTTATGTTTACGCGGCACGATGCAATGCAACGCAACGCGTAAAAAGACAGTATAAGTCATTATAATCAGTAATTATGTCCCCACTGGATGCAACAAATGCCTCGTTTGTAATGGATTTTAATGTTGTCTCGTTGCTCCGGGACAGGGCATCAACAGTATGTGAGGGGCGTAACATTTCCATCTCACGCTTGAGGTATTCGGCCAATCACAACGCATTGGATAGCTGGCCAATCACAGCACACCTCGCTTTTTCAGACCGATGAGTTTTGTAAAAATCGACGCGTTTCAAAAAGGCGGGGCATAGAGGAGAAACAATAATGTACAGTATGTGGAAAATAATGTGTTTTTTTTACTTTAAACCACATAAACACAGTTCATTACACCAAATACACAAAATAGTGTTCTTTTTAGCAGCATCATATGACCCCTTTAATATATTCATTTTGATTGAAGTTTTCATGTTTTTGTAATGTGCTTTTGTCATTTTTTTTTTTACCATTTTTTTATATTTCTAATTAGTTTTATTCAATGTAATTTGAGTACTTCAACTTATTCTTAAGATTATTTAGTTGCAGTTAGTTTCCAAGGCAATGCTTCTAATCTTTAAGGTTTTCTAATCTAATATGTACAGTCGTGGCCAAAAGTTTTGGCAGTGACATTAATTTTGTGTTTTGTAAAGTTTGCGGCTTCAGTATTTGTAGATTATTTTTCCACATGTGTCTATGGTATACTGAAAATCATAAGTTTTAAAGGCTTTTATCGGCAAAAAAATATAATGAGTCAATATTTACAGTGTTGACCCTTGTTCTTCATAACCTCTGCAATTGGCTGTGGTATGCTGGATATCAGCTTCTGGGCCAAATCCTGACTGATGGCGATCCACTCTTGCCTTATTAGTTCTCGGAGTTGATCACAATGTTTGGGCTTCTGCTTGTCCACTCACCTTTTGAGGACTGACCACAGGTTCTCTATGGGATTGAGATCCGGGGAGTTGCCTGGCCACGGATCCAAAATTCCAATGTAATGATTTTCGAGGGACTTCTTTATCACTCTTGCTTTGTGACATGGTGCTCCATCATGCTGGAAAATGCACGGATCATCACCAAATTTTTCATGGATCGTTGGAAGAAGTGGCTCTTGCAGGACGTTTTGATACCATTCTTTATTCATGGCAGTGTTTTTGGGCAGAATTATGAGAGAGCCCACTCCCCTGGTTGAAAAACAACCCCACACATGAATGGTCTCAGGATGCTTCACTGTTGGCACAACACAGGACTCATGGTAGCGTTCACCTTTTCTTTTTCAAAACAATCTATTTTCCAGATGTCCCAAACAGTCGGAAGAGAGCTTCATCAGAGAAAATAACTTTGCACCAGTCTTCTGCTGTCCAATCCTTGTACTTCCTGCAGAATTTCAGTCTGTCCTTGACGTTTTTCTTGGAGAGAAGTGGCTTCTTTGCTGCCCTTCTTGACACCAGGTCGTTGTCCAAAAGTCTTGGCCTCACTGTGAGTGCAGATGCTCTCACACCAACCTGCTGCCATTCCTGAGCAAGCTCTGCACTGCTGCTGACACGATTCCGTAGCTTAGGGATGGGCGATACCTCTTATTTTATTTTCAATTCGTTACCGATATTTTCAAGCCCAGTATCGTCGATATCGATACTGATACTTCTAAACTAAACTGATCTTTTAATGTATTAAAAGAATATAATCAGTAATTATACTCACTTAACATTAGATTTTAAAGCCATGTTTTTAACATTTCATAGGCCTTTTTTTGTTTACATTGTCAGAAATAAAATATACTATAATTGTATTTTTGCCCTTTACTGGAGCAGTAACCTCAAAGGTGCAACTATACCCCTAAAAGGCAGCATATTAGTACCATACAAGTATGCATGCTTTAAGGGTAGATAAGTTACAAAGGTGCACCTTTGAGGGTACCTCATGAAAAATAAACATGGTGTTACTGGTGTAAAAGTGCTAACATGGTAAGTACTAACATGTATTATTATTATTATTATTACCATGGTAAATTTGTGGTTACTGCAGTTATACTACAAATACTGTAGTACAAATACTGTGGTAAAACCACTCGTTTTATGCTGATTTACTGATTATCAATATTTAAAACAGTTGAGTACATTTTTTTTCGGGATTCTTTGATGAATAGAAAGATCAAAAGATCAGCATTTATCTGAAATAAAAAGCTTTTGTAACATTATACACTATACAATTCAAAAGCTTGGAGTCAATAGAATTTACTTTTTTTTGGGGGGGGGGATAAATTAATACTTTTATTTAGTAAAAATGCTTTAAATTTATCAAAAGTGATAAAGACATTCATAACAAAAAAAAAAAAAACAAGCAGTAAAAGCAGCAATATTGTGAAATATAACAAATAAAATAACTGTTTTCTATTTTAATATATTTAAAAAATGCATCTGTGATCAAAGCTAAATTTTCATAATCATTATCAGTCTTCAGTGTCACATTATCCTTCAGAAATAATTCTAATGTCATTTGCTGCTCAAGAAACATTTATTATTATTGCTGCTTCATATTTGTGTGGAAACCGTGATGCATTTTTCAGAATTAATTTTATATATAGTAACAATGTTATGTTATGTTATGTAATGTAATAATGTGGCAATGCTTTCTTAAGATCTACTTATGCTTCTGATCAGGGCTGGATTGGTACTGGGCATTTTCCCGGTGAATGTTGTTGTTTTTTTGTTTTTTTGCCAAGGACCATCACGCAGGGACAGCGAGCAGCCAGTGGCCCATTGGATTGTCTCCTGTAAAGACGGCGTAAACCATCCAATCACAATGTGCTATAGACGGAGCGATTAAGTATTTTGCTCCGCCTATATAAAGATCGCTTCAC